AACATTCAAACAACTTTTTTATGTAAAAGTGATTTTTCGATCATACATCCATTTTAAAAAAAAAATATTTAAAAAAAAATAATGCATAAAAAATCATTTTTTTTAAAAGCTTGTCTAAACGGATCCTTATTCTTGAGAGCATACAGCCATAGACTTGACATCGACATCATTCATTAAAAAGAACAGATCAGTCTACCGATAAAAAATAAAGGAACCCAGATCATACTTTTTTCAAAAAAATAAAATACAAAAAATAGTATATTTAAATTAATTTATTTTATGATAAAAAAAATTCAATTGAATTTTTATAAGAAAAAATTAAAAAAATTATTTACCCAAAATAATATATTCCCCAACCATCCTCAAGTATTGCCTATTATTAACTAGTGCTAAAGTCATTTCACTTTTTATAAATAAAATAAAATTTGAATAATTTATGTTTTGTTTTTTTATTGACAAACCTAACTCGTAGATCTTCCATTGATTACTATTGATGTGTACCTTTCAATGAATATTGTCGACTACTTTAGTGCATGCACTTCTTTGCCTTTTTCACCTATGTACTTTAAAATTTTAAAAGTTTGACCTGAATAACTCTTGTGGTCAAATTATTGTCTGGAGTAATGCATTACATAGCCTAAGTAGTGTTTGGTTGGGAAGAAATTTTTTAATATTAGAAAAATGTAAATACTAGGAATTTGGAGGAAAAGTGAGTTAGATAAGAAAATTTTAAAAAAGTTGTTTGGATGGGCAAATTTTTACCAGGAAAATTGAATGAAATTCCTGAATATGTGTTTAGTTGAAGATAAAATATTGATGAAAAAATAACCCTTTTATACCACAAACCAAAATTTAGCCGATTTTCTCATAGAAATACCACCTCTTGAGATGCTTTCTGGAACAGTGTTTTTATTGGTTTTTACATGTAATTGTCAATTGATAGGGAAGTGAATTAGATAGGTAAAATTAATGAATCGCTGAACCAAATGTGGGGAATGCAGGATCCCTTTGCACTTAGCTAGGAAAGTGGGGAAAAGTCTCGAAACTAACACCCCTAATGGTTAAGAAAATATGTTTTCTTCCTGAACTACTCAGAAAACCTTATGACAACTCATATGAAAGTTAATTGTTTTAAATATAAGGAAACGCCCAGAGGTATATCTTTGAAATATTCTAAACAAATAATGATCTCAATTCTCAATTAGCACAAAGTAACTCGAAAACACTTTTATCATACAATGAGAAATGAATTTAAATTTTCAATATAATCCCCTTAAAGGCATCAAAAGACCAATTTATTTATTTTTATCTAATAACATTATAAACTTGTTGATATGGGATAAACTCTTCTTTAAAATATTAATACCGTTTTCCTTTACAAGTGTTTTTCCACAAATTTACTTCTTAACATTATAAATACTTTCTTAAGTGTCAATTTAAAAAAAATTATCAAAAAGTAGCTGATTTAAGTGGTATTGTTATGGACCAGAGGAAGGCCTACGATAGCGAGAAGCCCAACCCAAATCAGCCCAAAGGTAATCTCTATAAATAGGGACTAAGAACCACAGGTATGACTGATCTCTCTACCCTATTTCATGAAGACACGACAGTGCACACACACGCACACCCCTTCTGGATAAAGCCATCATATAGTGTGTAGTGATCAGCTGTCCCCAAGATACCTATGTGGCTCTTCAGGGCTCCGGCCTGAGCAAACAGGTTCGTCATCGGCAGGAACGAACGTGTTGAAATCTACCGGGTTGCCAATGGGAAGCTCGGACACCTCTTCGGTTGACATTTCGGATGCAAAGCTCAGCAGCTCCTCCGTAACCCAGGGATATTGGGTACGAAGGTTATCGGTCACTGGAGCAGAGCCCTTCTCGGTCGTACTCACCCTGGCATCTGGACCTTGGCTAGAAGAAGCGATATTCGCATTCGATTCTGTAGAATGGGACTCCATAAATACCTAAAACAGTAAAATGGAGGATTAAAAAGCAAGAATAGCACGTAGCAAAGGGGATACGTACCCGAATTAAACACACTACTGTCAGAGGAACTAGAATCGTCAGATGCAAAAACAGGAGCAGGGGTTGCTGAACCCGGAGTGTGTGGACAGCTACCCAAAACTACATTGGCCATGAAGTCATTCCCCCTCTCCACAAACTGAGCACTAAGGTATACACAATTGAAGCAGGGCTCAGGGTTGGCAGTACTAGGATGAGAGGAGACTCTTACACTCTGATTCGGAAAGGGAACGGGTGTAATAGAGTGAACCGGGGTAGAACCTAAAGAAAGAGAGGGAGCTGCCCTGGATGGGTTGCCTAAGTTACGGGGACCAACATTTCGACCCCGGGTTGAAGGACCAGAAGAAACCCTCCTACCTCGAAGACCCCCCCTACGACCACGGACTGAAGAGCGAGATAAAGAGGCTCCCCTATGGCCACCACCTCGATAGCCGCCTAGCAAAGCAGCATGTGTTTCCTCCTCAGTTCGAGGTTTGCCATACAACCAGTACCTCGAACCAGGCGGTAGGCTCTGAATGAACCTTTCCTCTTCCTCCGAGTGTCGTCTTTCCTCTTCGGCATCAATTTCATCACCACGACCGAAGATGCGGGGGCAATAGGGTCTTTCTTGAATGGTATAATTTCTCTCACCCATATCAGAAACTAGTCAAAGCAGGGTGTGCAGGAAATGAACAAACAACAGATAAGCTTGTATAGACAGTGCAAGACTAGAACAGAAGATGTAATCATGCAAGAGCTATATAATGCATCACACATACAGATAAGCACATGCATAGGAACAAGCAGGTAAATAAGTCTGAAATAAAGAAAGGCATTGCAAATCCAGTAGCCGTAGGCGAAATATAAAGTTAATAGAGTATGCCAGAAAAGAAAGCCAGGGTGAAAGAAAATACCTGCGGGGAAGGGTGTCGAAGAAGCTGGCGATAGACGAGCGTGGGAGCTAGAAAACGTTGAGGGAGAATGCTCTGGTGAATGGCGAAAGATAAATGCTCTGGATACTGCCAGACGATTCGAGACAAATGGTATGAAATGAAGATTGAGGGTGGTAATATGAGCAAACGTGAAATCGAAAAGTTAAACCCGCGAAAGTCAAAGGGCAGGGGCATTACAGTAATTGCAGGGTGGACAAGACAGTTGAGGGACGTTTCGGTAGGAGCATTAAATGCCAGCGGAAAAAAACGCACGATGCCACACGTTGTGCCTGTTGGAGGGAAGCACGTGGAAAGGTAATCATTAGAATGAAGGGAAACTGTTTCTCACTTCAATGCAATCGTCAGATGGCAGCTAAGTGCAATCATTTTTGGCACAACCAAAGTAAATAACCGAGTTCCTAGTCCAAAGAGGCCGCGATCTAAACCCGGCAAGTAAACCCGGATGAAACCAGGGAAAGCTTCCCCTCTCGAGGCCAAGTAGGGAGGCCGAAGTAATAAAGCAGTCATGTGACCGATGTCCGAGTAAAAGCATAACAATCAGCTCGACTTGGGCATCCCGGCAACCTGAAGACTCAGTCTACCGGGCTGGGGGCACCTGTTATGGACCAGAGGAAGGCCCACGATAGCGAGAAGCCCAACCCAAATCAGCCCAGAGGTAATCTCTATAAATAGGGTCTAAGGACCACAGGTATGACTGATCTCTCTAACCCTATTTCATTAAGACACGACAGTGCACACACACACACACCCCTTCTGGCTAAAGCCATCGTATAGTGTGTAGTGATCAGTTGTTCCCAATATACCTAGTTCATAGGTATCTAGAGAGAAAGCCCTAAATCCAACTTCAAACACCCGACCTTCGGTCGGACATATCTGCCTCAGGCAGAACAAGTATATACTTGATTTTGCTTAAGTAAGGTCTTGGGTTCAACTATTTAAGTACTTGTGAATGCAAAAAATTCTCTTTGAAGGAGTTAGTCTTACCATGATATGAACATTTTCAGCTTGAACATAATTACCTCCCGTATAAGTTATATGTGATTTATTCAAAAAAAAAAAAGTTGTGAAATATATTAATAATGTTTCAGTTCATAATAGCCCTAGTTTTAATAATATTTCCTAATATTATAAAAATGAATAAAAAATTAAACTGTCCATGTATAGAAGGAAACATATATTAAGCTATTAAGACTGGTTTAGTAGTAAAAAAAAATTAAATAAGTTGTATTAAATTATAAATTAAAAAAAAAAAAAGCAAAATTTCAGATGTGAGGAGGGTAAAGTAGTTATTAAGTATGAAATGCAGGGTGAGATTATAAGAAGATGATTCTAAGATTTAGTCCATTAACTGACGTGCGTCACTTCTTCCTAAACTGCAAGGCTTTGGACTGTCGTTTAGCTCACCCAACCACAAACCGCCACGTCGACAACATCCTCTATGCACCCCAGTCCAACATGGGAAAGGTATCAACTACTGCAGTCAAAATGGGCCGGCTCAAATTTACACTAATATTCAAAAGTTAAAATTCTTTTAAAATAATCACTTTAATAATGAACTGATAAAAATAGAAAAAATATTTGTACAAGAATATATAATTATATTATTTTAAGAAAGAAAAAACATAAATTAATATTATTTTATTTAAAATTCAAATTAAAAAATTATCTATTTTTTCTCTCATAATATCTATTATTTATATTTTTTTCTTAAAATAACATAATTTTATATTCTTTAAAAAGAAAAATATCAAATCCGATAAAAACATATTTTTATAACATTTCACGAGTTAGCGTTAGATATATTTCAAATTAAAAAGATAATGCCTCATTATTTATTTATTCTGTAACAACTTTTCTCTGATTGAGCAAAACACTCGCTAGCTACCGTCGGATTGTGGAAGAAATCTGTGATCCCTGATTTGTCCTCTTGCGTCCAGTGTCAGAGATGTTATTGTGATTCGTGAGTAATCTTTGCCTAGGTCTATAAATGTAGACTCCAGTGCAACCTTTTTCACTCAGATTTATTTGTGCCAAGACAATAACTGTTTCAATTTCAACTCTTTTTCTCTCTCTCTGAAAATGTGTGGGGGTGCTATCATTTCTGATTTCATAGACGTGAACTTGAAGCGTAGCAGGAGATTCACACCCGAGAACCTCTGGTCTGAGCTAGACACTTTCTCTGACCTCGTTGGTTTCGACGCCACCTCCTCTTCTAAACACCAACCATCCCTCCACCACTTTGATCAACCAAAGCTGTCTCTTATTCCAAACAACAAAGGTATATATACTTTCATTTCCGTTATTCTAGGGCTATCACTTGTTTTCTGTTCTACCTAGATGCTTTTTCTTGTGTGTGGGGTTGTGTGCATTAATTAAATTCCAGATTTTTAGCCTTCCTGTTTATTAAAAAAGCATGTTCATGTATCTGAATTTCTCATTTTTAGCCTTCCTGTTATATTCATCTGGTTTTTGTCAATTTCTTTTTATTTTCATTCTTATTATTAATTTTTATTTTGTGGGCTTCGATGATTTTATGCAAAAAATTTGGAATGGAAATGTAGAGTGAAGTAGAGGCATTTCTTTTGAATATTTGACAAAAATAAGGATATTCTTACTCCCAACAAAATTTATTATCGTTATCTATTTAATTATTACTGGATCATCGTATTTTATCTTGAGAAACTTTTCAGTATTTTATGCAAGGATGATTAGATAGATAGTGAAATTTTTTTATTGTAAGAATATCTCCCTGTTGACAAAATATACCGATGATTCTTTTGTTCACGTTTTTCTTATTCATAGAAAAGAAAGGGCAACAAGAAATTAAAAAGAACCAAGTTGATAACTTTAGAGTTGTTAAGCATAAAAACTTCATTACAATCCGCTATAAAAAATCCAATGGACCTGATCCCAGCATCCATCCCACTTAAAAAAAAAAAAAAGATGCCTTTCCAGGACAATATATAATAATAGCCAACCCTTAAAAAATAGAAAGTTTTCTGAGATACGATAATGAAATGATGTGTGCATTAATGTGGCAGTGGTGAAGGTGGAGAAAAAAATAGTTATTGCAGAAAAGGGAACAAGTAAGAATGGTGAGAATCAAAGTGAGGGTAAGGCTAAGCGAACTCGGAAGAATGTGTATAGGGGAATCAGGCAAAGGCCATGGGGCAAATGGGCTTCCGAGATAAGGGACCCACATAAGGGTGTACGTGTTTGGCTCGGAACCTTCAACACCGCCGAAGAAGCCGCCCGGGCCTACGACGGCGCCGCCAAACGCATCCGCGGAGACAAGGCCAAGCTCAACTTTCCCCACCATCCTGTCAAGAAGCGGTGCCTCAGCCCCGAGTTAACTCAGCCGAGTTATCAACTCACTGGTGAAGCCCAGGTCCAGGATCCTGAGTTGAAACATCAAATCTCGAGCCTGGAATCGTTCCTTGGTTTGGAGCACGAGCAGCCTCAGTCGTTCGTTGGTGAGTGGGACTCGCTTTACAGTGACACGTGGATGCTGGACGACGTCGTTATGCCCAACTGTCATCCGTTCTGAAAATGGGATTCGAAAAATGGAAACATTATCAGGTGGTGGCCTGGTGGGTGACTTTATTTAGCTTCTTCATTCAATTAAAGGTTATTAAAAACTAGCGACAGTATATAAATGTTCAGAGAATTAAGATACTGTGTTGCGTCTTCTCTTTTGTTTTTGGACGGTCGAATGTTTCATCACCAGTGCACCCGTTTTCCGATACTTAATTCATAAATAAAAGTGTGTGCATGTGCATGTATGTCGGTGCATGAATCAGGCCTTAGTCTTTGTGACAACTAGGATTGCTGTGCGCGTTAGTAATATAGTATTTTTATTTTATTTTATTTATTTATTTTGGTAGTCAGTAATATAGTATTTAATTAGTTAGACAACTTGTCATTAAGTAATTGTATCTACTATATAGTATATACTACGACTGCAACTGTTCTTGTAATGGGTCAATAATTCAATATCCGATTGATTGCACAATTCACATTATTTTCAATTGACAAGCTCTCTCACCTGTGTTCTGTGTACATTAAATCATGCTGCATGCACTAAGAATAAATAGTAAATAAGTGTAGAAGTTATTTTTTCTTTCCTTATACGGGAATATAATATAAAAATTACAGATTAATGTTTTTCAAAATAATTTTATCTCTTATTTATGTGTGTGGGTTTTGTATAGGGTCAAAGAAGAGAAAAAAGAAATATAGACTTTATATATATTAATCTCTAAAAATTATTAATAGGTCTTCACTTCTTCATCAAAGGGCTTTTGTGTGAGATAGTGTGATAAAGAAATTAATATAAAAATAATGGTTCTTTATATTTCTTAATATTTATTACTATTTTCGAGGAAAGTTTTATGTTAATCTCACTTATAAAAAATGATTTCAAATTATCTAATAGAACTTATATAGAATTTTACAAAAATTTAAAAAAATATGAATATATATTTCTGACATTCATTTTTCACATTAACATCGAAAAACACAATTTTGATAATAAACTAGTACGTCACTGGGTGACTGATCAGGAATAGGATTTCAAAAATAGTACGTATATATATATATATATATATATATATATATATATATATATATATATATATATATATATAACTCAATCTTAACTTATTTATTTTTGGGCAAGTTGATTCCTTCTAGTATTATTATAAGTTTAAATTTTTTAAATTCAAGAAAAAGATGACATGTAAAAATTGAATCAATGTCTTTTTTTATTTATTCAGATTCAATTTCTTTTTTTATTTATTCAGTTCTATTACTATCAAATGAATTATCGCCATTTGCTATAGTAAATAATATATTGTTATCAACATGAAACATAGCTAGTTGACGATTCAAGTTGAACGGTCAGAAATTTCTATGCCCACAAGTAGTTTTTATTTTTTATTTTTTAAACTCCATCCTTACGTTTTTGTCTGAAAGAATGGAAGAAGAAAAATGACAAAATCAATGGCCGCGAAGAATAGCATTACAAAATACGAAATTATAGAATTAATATGCAATAGAGTGAGTCGCTTATATTGTTAATTGTATTAAGTTCATCAATCGTATATATTTTTAAATCTAGGACACGAAATGAAAAAAGGATATACTCATTCGGACACTTAAATTCAATAAAATAATGGCGCATGAGCTCATGTGAATCGGGGTATTAAACAAAGGGCAAATGATTTTTAATAGAGAGAGAAAGCAAAAGGAAAGACAGAGAAAATAATAAGAAAGAAAGGGAGATTTAAATGAGGGACAACTATCAAAATGATATTCACAAAAAATTGCCTGAATACTATGAATGTAAATTTTTTTTTCAAAATGTCACGTCACCTAAGTCACTACAATATTTGACGAGTTAGGTGTGGACACATGACAGTAGATTCACGGCCATGTAAATCGTTGTACAGTGGAGTGAGATTACGTGGCAGACAACGTTCAAACTCGTTATGTTGCATAGCATACTACGTGTCAGCTTGGAGCGTTACGTGTCTGATATGCGTCAAACTGGCTATGCTGTATAACTTGTTACGTGTCAGCTTTTCTGACACGTGGCCATACATGTTCTGCTGCATAGCATATTATGTGTAAGTAGCCCAGCAGTCCAATATTTTTGATCTAATAAATCCACCATTTCCCTTCCTATATCTTGATCATCGTGGTCTAATAAATTATAGGATTATTTTATGGGGGGAGATTGTACTTATTACCTTTTATCTTATTACCTTTTATTATCAAATATTAACCATTGATTTCTGTCAATCTAACGATTATAATATATTGGGTCACACTTATTAATTAATTATTAATTTTCAATAAGTTATATTCGTTCGATTGATGAAAATCAAAGGTTAAAATTTGGTAGTAAGAGGTAATAAGAAAAAAATGTAGTAATATAACATTTCCCTAATTTTAATTATTGAATTTTTTATTTTGAAATAAAATAATTTAAGAAAAATTAATATTGGTTTGAATACTTTAGTTTTAAATAACTTATGTTAAGATAATTTAATTTAGGATTGTTAATTTAATTTAATTTATGTGTGTTAATTATTTTAAATTAATGTAGGAGTGTTAATTAATTTATTTTATTTTATTTTATGTTAAGTTAAATTATTTTTAACTGTTAAGTAATTTAATTTAATTTAGAAGTGTTAATGAATAAAATTTAATTATGTCTGTTAAGTAGTTTAGTTTAATCTATTAATTTAAATTATTTTAAAACTTTAGACTTAAAACACTGGACTGACTTCCACATAATATGATATGCAGCACAACATGTATAGCACATGTCAGAAAAGCTGACACGTAACATGCTATGCAGCATAGTGATTTTGACACGCTGTCTGTCACGTAATCTTATTACACTGTGCAATAACTTATGTGATCATAAATATACTGCTACGTGTTCATACCTACCTCCTCATATGTTTCACGTAATATTTTGGGGAGAAATTCCAATCTATGACATTCACATAATTTTTTTGAATAATATGATATTTTGATCGTTGTGTCTTCAAATGATTGGTCTGCCACTAAAGCAGAAAATATTTGCCATTAAACAAAATAACCTTAATTAACCGTCCATCGACACCTTCAAAAGTGGATTTTTTAAATAAATTTTAACTTATATGCATTGTTGGCGTAAAAATATCTGAGTTATATTTTATGACTTATTATTACATCATTTAATAAGATGTGTTTTTTATTTTTTTTAAAGATATAATAATACACCACTAAATAAAAATATAAAATTATTTTTTTCTTACACGCCAAAATTAATTCATTTTAAAAGTATTAATTCGTAATACTTTTAAAGTTGGACACTAGCCATCAACACAATTGAACGAAAAAGGGAAGATTTAGAAGGTGCATGAACCAACCCTATTTTCGTATAGTGGGTCCCTATATCTAGTACACTATATTTTGATTGAAGCGACACCACAACCTTTTAATATTTTCTTTCTTAACTTCGGTCAGATTCTTACACAGTGAACTTTCGTGTTTCTGCAAAAAGAAAACATAATAAAAACTTGGGCCACACGTCACTACTAACAACAAAATGTTAAATAATAAACTGTTTTTTTTTTTCAAGAAAACTTACTTCTTTTTTAAACTCTATATCAATTATCTATTATTATTTTCGTAAATAATAAACCTCTCGATATTCTCTCAAAAAATATTCTTAAGTGTGTTTTTTTTTTGGTACAAACTTATGTGTGTTTTAATTAGTAGAAAGAGTATAACACACTCTCATGTGCAATTAACTTTTTGGAAACCGATCTTGATTATCTTTTTGAGGTAAATTAGAATTTTCGGTATTTTTACGCGTTCGACTCTTTGAGCCGTTTATGGGACTAATTCAGAATTTGAGTGTGAGTCCAAAAATTACAATACTTATACCACCAAATAGTGTTGATGGAATTCGAATAAACATCATGTGCAACTAATTTCGTCCAGTTGCGTACCTATCATTTTTTTTTATATTTACGAAATCATAGTATGCCTTATTAACGTTCCAGTTATGAGTTTTTATTAATGCACATTTAATTAATTTATCTCCCCGATCAATCCCTGGAAATATGCTAGTCATTCATACTAATATTAAACGATTTTAAAAAAATTCACTCTAATCTTAGCATGTAATTTTAAAATTTTATTTTGATTTATTACAAAAGAATTTTTTTTTTTTTTTTGCATTATATTGTTTAAAAATTTGACTATATGATAAGAATTATCTAAGAGACCAAACTCATTTAATAATATGGTAATGTATTATTTTATTCTGATAATAAACCTATTTTTAAAATCTTAACATACGAAAATATTCCAATTTTAGAACAAAATTAAAAAATAAATAAATCTTTCGCACTACACAGGTATTGAGAGCATTATACCCAATAATATTATGTAGTGTAAAATATATTTTGTGTTATAAATATATATTATGGAAAAAAAGTTATTTATTAGTGTAAGGATATATAAAGTCTAATAAGCCAGATTGGAGATCCAGTCTCCGTCATATAAATCATGAACAATAAAATATTCAGGTTCATGTAACTTGGCTTATTTTCAAGGAAAAATACTTCATATTCCTTTTTTTTTTGTTCGTAAAAGGACAAATCCTTCTAATTTTGCAGTTAACCTAGTCATATTCAGTTGGAATTTTTAGGTTCATTGTAGTACATAAACGTCAACTAGGAATATCATCGACTTTTTCGATTCATTTGCACATTATAATAATGAACAAAGAATCAATTTGCAATATTTAATCTGGAATTAATCGGATTGATATACTCTAGATCCTCAAAAAATATATACAGCGACATTTGTCTTATTTATATCAGAATAACTGAGACCATCGCCAAAGCACACAGGATACATGGATCAAAACTATTTGGATGGTTACTGCGAACCACCATATATAATCACTCCTCCTCCTGTCAACAAATTTCCAATTAGATAAGAATGAAAATTTTCTTAGTGACGAAGAAAATCGGGTATATGTTAAGGGATTGGTTATTCTTTCTACTTTTATTCTGCCTATCTCTCTCAACACCGTTAGATTACAATCTCATC